AGGGAAATGAACTGGGGAATTTATCTGCTGGAGAGCTGATCCTTACGTTCCCCGTTCTTTTGCTGGATTAAGTTTTCAGCAAGATCAGTTCCACAACTGGTTTACTGTGTAGCAGAGGAATGCTTTTGCCAGCATAAGGGAGGAGACAACAGGGAGACAAGCATCAGAGTGAGGAAAACACAAGACAGCTTCTTTTTGTGGCAGTGCTGGTCTAACTACAGCTCCAGAAAGCAAACACATGCACTGAAGTAAACAGAATACCAAGCAGGCAAGATGTGAATCAGGACAGGGAGGATAACTGAAGAGTGAAAAAACAATGGGAGGAGAACTGTGTTTCATAACCTACCCATACTCTGAAAAGCGCTCTCAGAGAGCGTACAAAGCCACAAGCATTCTTTGGAGAAGCACTTCAGTGTATTTGGGACAGTTTTTATAGAAGGCCTAATGCTGTACCCATTATAGTCAATAAAAATGACTTCTGTTAACTTGACTGGAAGCTGACTCCAATCTCAAAACAAGCTGTTATTTAGGAGAGGAGGCACATAGTGCAAAGGAACACGTTTTCCTATTACCTCAAAATGTTCACGGTTTTGTACAGTCTTCAGTGCTGCAATCCAATCTTCCATCTCTTTTCTGTTATCAGCACAAAGGATGAGCTTCCGACATGGAGTGATAATCTGAAAAGTGAGAGAAAATTAATAGGGTATATTCTGGGCATGTCAGTGAGAGACAGCGAGAGAACACACTATCACTAGTGTAGTCTATTGAAACAATTTTCAGAGGCAATGAGCTGCACAACAGAACAGAAGTTATATGTACCTTTCAATCACGTTTCTCTTCCACTGTAACATACCTTAATGCCTTCATAAATGTAGAGAATCACAGAGATTCTAGTTGTCATTCCTAATACTGAACTGACTAAAGAAATCTCTCAGATCCAAATAAAAGCACAACACAAATCAAGCACAGAGCAGTAAAAGTTAATATATTACCTGTGCAGAACTCGTGTGAGGTTTTTTTTTAAGCGCTTAATGTCTTTTTAAATCGGCAACAACATTAAAACATTTTGTCAACACCATAATATACTGGTTTCTAGCAATTAATAAATTAGATAACATGCTCTGTAACATCATACTAAAAACCTGTTTAGAGTTTAGGGAGAAATCAAACAAAATAAGCAATCTAGAAGAGAAATCACTGTATTTTGAACCCTCACGTTTCCTGAGGGCTTTTTTACATATATTACATAAAAGAGATTCCAACAAGCGTTCTACTAGCAGCTTGAGGTTGTGGTGAGTTTGCCATCCTCAGTGTCAGCCTTCCTCCTACTGTCCTCAGTGTCTTTCTACCCTGGGCTAATTCCCATGTGTTAGCTGCGCTGTGTTAAATAAACAGTCCAGTGTTTTAACAAACCAGTAGAAGACACGCAGAGTGGCCCAAGCTCCCCTCTGCCCAGGAAGGCAGATAGGTAGGTCTCTGTGTAGCCTGCCACCAACGCTCTCCCCTTTTGTCAGATGGCGGCAGCAGAGGGAAATAAAAGCTCCTAGTTCTTCAGAGGACCATGTCAGCTGTCCACAGAGCTGCCCATTCAGCTGGGGTACGGACTTTACTAAAAATCAACATTTATTCTTCCTAAGACAAAAGTCTTTCTTCCCCACACAGTAGTTATTTTATCTCGCTAACCCTGTCTCCTTGTGCACATCTCTGTACTGATTTCCATCCAACTGACTTCTTAAATTAGACCAATATTGAAATGCTTGCAAGACTTGGATTTAAGAAAAGCTGCATTAAGGTTGAGCACCATTAACAAAAATCAAACGACCCCCCTTTATGTCAACTCTAAAAACTTCCAGCAGCCCAGACTCTCCTGTGCCCCTCTACATTTTGTACATGAAAAAACTGTCTACATCATCTGCTTTTCCAGCAAAATGTACTCTAACATCTGAAATAACAGATTAAAACAAACTAGAATTGTGTCAGGTTGCTGAAGCCTGTGTGGCTCTTGCAATCATGCAACCAAAGTTTTGTCAATGAACACTAAAAAACCCCACACCTCACCCCAATACATGATTCCTGTTAACTACCATTTTCCAGTCTGTTTCTCACTTCTCTCATTATGATTCATAGAACAGATTAAAAATAAAAACCTCTCAGGCCGAACACGAAACTTTTAGTTGATCCTAAAGTGCATCAGAGCATGTACTAAGAAATGTGCATGTAATGTCAACCAAAAAAGAGACACTTGTAAATTTCTGCTTTATTTTAAGCTCTTCAATTTTCAAAATTTATTTATTTTCAAAGGATAGATAGCAGCATTCACTCCCAGTAACACTGACTTTGCACAGAGGTATTACAAATACCTAGACCAGGGTGTTACAGCCACATTAAGCGGGCAATCAATGGAGCTAAATACCTTTTTAAAGCAAGGACTGGCCATTCATATTAAAAACACAGTTTTGGCATGGAACATTCTATCTTGGACAAAATGACCTGATCTGTATCAATTGTAAACAAACAGAAATAAATATTTACAATTTTCTAAAAATACAACTTTGAAGAACTCCTTCTCTCTTCCCTGGCTTTTCCTTTAAACAATTCCAGTCCTAATAAAATTTATTCCCAAAGAAGGTAATCACAGGAGTCTTTCTTTTTCCCTGGGAAAGCAGAAAAGTGGGTGGTTAACTATTTCCATCAAAAACTCCGCTATGTAAGAATGGCTATCCTAGAGAAACCTTTTATGGAGCATGAAACACTACTGCAAAAATCAGTGTGAAGTTAGAGAAGAACAAGCAACATCTTGGAATTCCTGCTAAGAGGAAGCAGCTTTTTCCCTGGAATTAAAACTAAGTTCAAATAATTTCTTCAGACAGTGAAAAGGCCCCACTTTATTCTGGTGGGAAAGCCAAGAATGTCTATAATCGCTGTATGTAACCCTATGTCCAAACATTCTAGGATGAAGCATCCGAGGACCTTTCATTGCTTTAAAACCAGGTACTTTTTAAAAGGAACTGCCAGTTCATTCAACAGGCCACTGGCACACGGATGGGCAGTGGGGAAAAATAATTTAGAACAGTTGGTAAAATTAATTGATTATCATCAGGATCCTGTTTCAGAACACTCCCATTCAGCGATGTCCCTTTTCCTATTTTTCTCTCTTTTTATCAAAATAAAAAAATAAAAGGCAAATGCAAAGTACCTAGTATAATTTTAAATCACCTTGGAAGAGGTGAAATCTAAAATATTGGCATGAAATACATAAATGCAGACACTCTCTTGATAAGAATTCATTCCTGAGGCTACTGACTTCCTGGATCACCAGAGAGACCATCTAATATAGTAAATCACTAATTCCTTCTTAAGTCACCTACTGCATCATCTTAAAAATCCCCATTTCCAGTGTTGGACAATCCTCTGTTCAAAGAACAAAGTTAAAGTTTATAAGACAAGAGGACAAATAAAGAGATGAAGAAAATTTCCATACTTGAATCATCCAGACAAAGAGTCACAGAATTAAAATAAAGGGTCTAACGTGTAACTACAAAACTGCAAATAAAATGTAACTTTATGCAAGATCAGTTTCTGAAGAACATTCCCTACTAGTCAGTTCTAAACCAGTATTTGCACTGGGATTTAGTGGTATCATCAGAGACGGGAAATAAAGGAATACAATCCCAAACATCACTCCTTTTCTAAGGAGGACAAATTGGGACAATTCAGGCTTCACTGTGAAGGACAGATAAGATTTTAATGTCACTATTGTAACAATTCTTGTGGGAAATTAAGAAACCATACAAACCTGTTTTTCTGATTAACCTGCAGTGGTGTTACAGTCAGACATTTTAATGAAGATAATTAGGAATCCAAAAACACGTTAATACTGACACTTCCTTTGCAGAGTGGTTCAACAGTTCTCGCCTTTCATACAGCCTCACACACACAACAGCCAACACTGGGTACCTTGTGAGCGTAAGACACTCCTGCTTTCCCCGCGCTGCAGGCAGCCGCTGGTCTCTTACCTGCACACGCTGGTGTGCAACAGGCACACCACAACACTTCCTGAACAAGGGCAGAACTGAGATTAACAGAAACATGCTCTCACGCACAGGGAAAAAAAAACACTCACCCTACCACTTTTACCTCCTTCTACTTGAGCCAGTAATGTGAACTCCAGACATCCACCTGTTGAAGGATACTAAAAGAAGGAGAAAGGCTATGACATACACTGCGCTGTCTCAACAGGACCGATGATCAATCTAATGTCACACACACACACACAAAAAATTCTTGTCATCTCAGAAAAAAGCCAAAGCAATCTTCCCCCTGAAATGCTGTCCTTCCCTAGCCAGGGAGTCTGGGGTGCTTGCTCTCAGCTACAGCTGCGATAAGATGCTCTGGAACACGAGGCTTGGTTATCCCGGTTGGCAAACGTGGCTAGAAACAAGCATGGTCCAGCTATTTTTTATGTTCCGGTCGCAGCTTTTGACTAACATCCTGGAACAGTATATTCCACAGGATGACGACGCACTAGGTGAAGTAGCATTTCCTTTTATTTGTTCTAAATTTAAAAAGCAGTAATGTCATCCAGTGACCTCTTGTTCTCATATAAACGGAGAGCACAAAAACAATGATCTGATTGCTTTTGAGTTAGGATGGGGGGCTGCCTTGTTAGGAGTTAAAAAAAAACACAATAAAAACTTTTAAGATTTATTTATAATCTTGTACATTTTTGGCCTGTTTGGGGATTGGCAGAACTCTGAGTGTTCCTGCCCTGAAACAGCTCCAAATTTTATCTAGATATGAGCAATTACATAAATTAAAAGTGCTTGTTCTTCCTAAAAAGGGAATACTAAAAACTAACATACTTTTTTGTTCCTAAATGCTATTGAACGTTTGGGTGTGGTTCCTTAGGTTTCACTCCTCAGTAGGAACTGGATGCCCCGATACCCATGTGCCAAGCTCACCACATGGTGATTTTATCAAGACCTCACAATGACCAGCAATAAAGCTCACAGCAGTCACAGGGAAATAAAAAGCTGTCAATCCCTCTAATCAATCCTGAAGATCCATAAGGATGGATGGGAAGAGCAGGAAGGCTTAAAGACATTTCAAATAAGGATGCAGCTTAATTTACAGGCTCCTCACTGTGTCTGAAAGCCCAGAAATATCTTTTGCAGGAATTACAGTGACAGTCAACTGCCCACCAAGTCACCCCTTTGCAGGCAGTTATGTGCCCTCTATGCAGATAAACCATCTCAAGTCTATTGGAGAAACTCTCAATTTTCATGCTTGCTCACTCTAAACCTAAAAAAATGTAAATCTAAAAAAAGCCATGCCTTCATTGGCTGTCTTGTGCATTTACTGATGCTCCCTTGACAATTCTCCAAAATTCAGCTTCATCTCCTCTGTCTCTTCCTCATACAGCACATGCCCTCTTACCAGCTGTTAACCCCCCACCCTTTGTCGTGTTGACCCACACTCCCCTGTCCAAAACTAACACGAATTTGCTCACATTTCAGATCAGGCCAGCTGGCAAACAACAGAGCCAACCAAAAAAAATTTCTCATTTTGCATTCTAAAAATGGACTGGATGTCCCTGCATGTCCTTCCCCAATGAACAGCTGTGAATAATTGGATTAGAAAGGCAGTCCAAAAAAGACTCCTTCTATTAGACCAAATT